ACAGGACTGATCGGTCTCACCTACGGCTGTTCCTACTTGGTCACAAAAAAAAATTCCCTACCCTAATCTATCCCATATCGATATCACTTCCCGCCCTTAGCAACGACTCCACAGGCGGCGGGCGGTAAAAAAAAACAAAAAAAAACGTCTTGAATTAAATGATTCGGCCACAAACAGGACGACCGGGGTGTTTCTACAGCCGAAGATCAGGGCTGCGGTGCGAGAATATACGGTACAGACAGTTCATGAAGATTCCGAACGAATGAAACGCGGACAACCCTCTTGGGGGCGTCGGTTGGAAATGCATGCCAAACACCGGCGTTTCACACACAACAAAGGAAGCGCGTGGAGGAGGACCACGGGCCGGAATAGGTACATGGCGGAACAGCCCAGCCGCGGACGAGGATACGGTTAAACTCGATACTGCTGCCGGTCCACTTACTCGTAGTACTTCTCCGCGCGTCTAGCTAGGAGCACCGCACAGCGAGAGATCGCGGCGCGTTCCTGGCGAAAACCATGACCGACGGGGGGTAGAAGAGGGGAGGGGGCGGGACTGTCAGAGGCTATCGCACCATATACTTGTTCAAGTGGGCGTCCGACGAGAAACTGTCCGTCCAGGATATGCTTCTGCGGGGGCGGTTTGTGTATGACGTGTGCATGCGCGCCGCTGGAGTACTGTAGACGAGAAGTTCCTCCGTCGAGACCGTGTGGCCTTCCAAGGACCAACCAAAAGCGTGAAGATAGAACAACTCCAGCACAACCACAACAAAAACAGGATATTCAGCCCACGTGCTGTTCCCGGTGGGATGGTATTGCGGAACCCCCCCTCGTGTTAGTCCCGGTAGGGCGATTTTGCGGCACCCACGCGCGAAAGAGACACATCATCACAACCATTACGGCACCGAAGAGGACAAGAAGGTGTTGTACAAAAACAAATCGGCTCAGCCACCCCTACAGCAGTACACACGTACAACAACACCCCCTCCGTGAAGAAAGGGCAAGAAAGTTGCTTGGGTCGAGCAACGACACTCGGCGCAAACAGCGAACAGTAGCACTAGGCCCGCCGACTTGTCGCGAACACAGGTGACTTGTCAACGTCCAACAACGATGCCCCGCACGCAGCACCAGCACTACTGTAGCAACCTCCAACGCGTTTGCTCTCCCACTTCGGTAAAACATGCGTCATGAAGAGCGTACACTGTTGTCTCTTCGGTAGGAGGTGCAGGTCCATGTTTGGACGCATTAAAGCAACGCTACGTTCATGCATTCACATCTAAAATCTGCCCAGGAAAAACCCTACCGGGAGAGGAGACGACTTTTTCTTGAAACATTTACAAACACAATAAGTCCAGCTCTATCTAAAGAGAAGGGTCTACAGGATAAGTTGGTAAATAACTCAGCGTTAGCGGAGAACCACCCGCGTGCCTACGATTCCCCAACAACGATGTCTCCCCTGTGGGAAACAAGTCTTTTGTTGTCCCTCGCTCACCCCGTTAAACTTGATGCAGTTGTGCCGCACCCAGTCGACGTCCTCCATGAAGGAGTTCAGGCCGGCGCGACGAGAGTCGTACTCTCCCGCCCGTAGCCGCTCCCTCATGCGCGTGAAATTCATAGGTTTCTTCACCGTCTGCAAGTGATGAAACGGGGGCAGATAAGATACAGACCGAGAGGAAGCGAATCGAAACGGAGATCAGGGCACGCTGCTTGAAGAACAGCACGTCCCAGGGTGCAGGTTCGCGCCTCTTTCGATCCACGGAAACTATAACAACACCACCACCACCAACGGGCAGCAGCAGCAGCAGCAACAACAACAACAACAACAGCAACAGCAAGCTCTAACCTCTCTGTAGTCCCGGATACTCCGCAGGGTCCACCTCATCCACGAAGAAGTGGGCCAGCTCATGATTCTGGAGCCAGTGCAAGAACTTTTCCAGCAAGCGACTGGTATCCCCTTCCGAGATCTCCCGCCCCTCCCCTTCCATCCAAGGCGGCTCCACCCAGGCGGGTACCTGCGTGCGATTGTGAGGGGGGGGGGGGGGGCATGCTATTCTTATGTTTTGCATGCCTTAGCGGTTAGACCATTGACCACGCGTTCCCAAGAGGACAGAGGTTTGTGAGGGTCCTCATGTTTTACAAGAAATAACTTTTAGACCATTTACCATGCGTCCTCGAGAGCACGGAGCTTCGTGAGGAAGGGCGTACTCATGTTCTGCATGCCTCAGTTGCGAGACCATCGACCACGCATCGTCCAGAGGACGGAGTTGTCAGGGGGATACCCACGCTTTTAACCGGTTATTAGACCGTCGACCACGCGCCCTCCAGAGGAAGGAGCACTGTTCCCACAGGACCGACTACCGATGGCCGATGTTTCCTTCCTGCTTTGCCAAACGTGGCTACAACACAAATTGTGAAGGCGTACTCGTGTACGCGCATGCCGTAGTCGTCAAAGGATTGACGTTGCATCCCTAAAACGTCGGGACGGAGCGATATGCCTTCCGGGTTTTCGCCGGCCCAGGCTAGATACAACGTGCGTCTCACAGGGATGAAGCTGAAGCTGCTAGTGTCGTCATCGCTGTCTTTGCTGTGCCAAACCAGACATGCCGTGGGTTGATGAGCGGGTTACGGGAAAAGGCTGTCCTGCTGCTGCACGAGCTTACCTCGTCATCGCTCCCCTTTTGGCACTCGCTGCACTCCGGGATCTCGAAGTAGCGTCCGAAGGTGTCTCGCCCTGGGACCTGACCAAGCGCAGTTATGATTCGGAGCGAGGAAACAGGTGTTCCGCGAGATGAGGATGAGGGGGAGGGGTGGGTACGCCGGGACCAGTGCCGAATACCGAATATTAACTTGGTCCCAAACAAGGATTGTCGGTGGAGGCTGGATGGCAAGGGGGGGGGGGGGTGTACTCATAGTCGTGCATGCCGTAGTCGTTTAACCATTGACCTCGCATCCCTACAAAGCCGGGACGGAGCACGCCGGGTTCTCACCGGACCAGGCTCTCACATCACCAAGCGCGAAGCGCCGTGAGGTATTTGGCGAGTCGCATGAAGGGTGAGCTGCATCCTGCTAAGGGTGTTCGGCATCTTGTGCTTACTTCCTTGCGTACGGATGACAGCTACGTATGACTCACTTTATTTTCTGGTGCTTTCACTTCCAGAGACAGTTGTAAGCACTGTGTAACTGCCTCGAGGATGCTTGACCATTTTAACACAACGTGGTACGATCATCCCCCGTTGCGCGGAGTGAGGTTTCTCGACCCCGCACAACATAATCTACTCGACCACCATTATGGTTACCGCCAAAAAAAAACCGAGGTAAAAAATAAAAAAACGGTAACCTGGTTGCCGAGTTCACGAAGTGAATTGGCTTGTTTTACAACGTCGTTGCCAAGCGACGAAAACCCAATCCCGATGGCAAACACCGAGTGCTGGATGGCAAGGGGGAAGTGAAAATCGGTTTACAATAGTGGAGACCCAAAATGGTTGACGCGACGCGATCTTCTGGGAAAAGTAGCCCACCATCCCAGTCATCATCCGTGGCCCCACGGTTTCTTTCCTGCCCTACAGCCTTCGCTTCTCTACGCCAAGGGCACCCAATGGTCCCGCGGCGCTCACACCACCCCAGCCTAATGATAGAGGAGCTCTGCACTCACCCAGCCCGTCCTATCCTTGGACAACTTGGTCTCCTGGCACCTGAGACAAGCCTTCCGGGGACACTTCTGGCAGAACACCACAGATCGGCCGTCTTTGGGCTGCCGCGGGTACTGAAGGCATAGGAAGCACTGGAGGACGTGCATGTGCCGCACCTGCAACAAAAAACAGACCAAATAAAGATCGTGAAAAAAGCACACACACACGCACACACATACGCACACATGGCGCGGTCGATGCTACGGCAAAATAACGCAAGAACCGACGAGTGTATCTCAGGGGAAGAGCCGTCATGCACGATCAACCAACAAGCAAGAGAGAGACCACAGGCCGCTGGAGCATGAGGCCTTACCCGACACCAAACCCCACGCTCACGCCAATCATGATACACGTTATAAAGATATGACTAGTACAGATTTTTGAAGTTTCCTTTGGGCTTCGTTGTGGTTCCCTGGCTCCTCGAGTCAAAACACAACAGCTATTGTGAGGTTGGGAAACGTAACACTGGCGGACGCTGGTGGGCTTGATCCTGCTGCCCGTGAATATTTCCATCTTGCCCCATCCCTTGGTGACACTGCTGCCGTGCTTTTACGAGCCTACTCCCGAGTTTTATCCCATGCCATCAACACCTGTCGAGGACAACGACGCACTCACCACGCATGTCGAGTAATCCGGTACCCTTCGCGTGGGCGTGCCCTCGTCGCCTTCTCCCTCCTCCTCCCCCTCCTCTACGCGCGGCCGCTTGCCCTTCGACGGGCTTCCCCCGCAAACGACCGACGACGCGCAGGGAGACTTCGACAGCAACGACGATGGCGATCCGTCCCGCGCGCTGGTTGGCCCCTCAGCTAGCAAGGTCTCGCCCCCGCCGCTGCTTGGTCTCTCGGCTAGCAAGGTCTCGTCCCCGCCCCCATAGCTGCCATTGTCCTCATCATCACGAGCGGCAACGGCACCGTCTTCTTCTGACGTTCGGACGCCGTCTGCCGCTGCCGCTTGGGCGTCGTCTGCCGGTGCTGCTTCGGCACCTGCGGCCGCTGACGCTTCTGTCATACGGCAGTCTTCAGTCGCAGCGGCGGCAGCGGAAACACAAGCGGCGGCTTCCTTGCTCTCGCCGGTTGCTGCGGCACCTACTTCGGTTGCCGCAGGCGCTTCCGTCTTCCGGCCGTCCTCGTCCGTAGAGTCCCTCCTGCTCTCGCTCGTACCTGCTTCGGGTGTTGCCGGCGCTGCCGTCTTCAGGCAGTCCTCGGTACTCACAGCAGCACCGGCGGCTGCGGCGGCTGCAGCGAAAACAACAGCAGCTGCTTCTTCCCCGCTCTCGCTGGTGGTTGCCGCGGCTGCTGCTACCTCGGGCGGCGATGCCGCCGCTTCGTCCGGCGGGGGGCTACTCCCGGCAGCAGCGGGAGTCGTTCTCCCGTCCTTGCTACCTGGGGTAAGCATCCACCGCTCGCCAGCGGAGGAACCACGGCCTAACTCCGCCACCCAGGAGGGGCCCAGGGAGGCGGCGCTCTCCCGCTCACGCGTGCGGTGAACGGCGGCCGGCAGCCGGGGTGTAACGGGGTTCGACGATACGGAGGCGGCCGTGGCCGAGCGCACAGAACGTGATGGTGTTTTTGGCCCTAACGGCAGCGGCCGGAAGGCCGGCGGCGGCGTCTGCGATCCCCGGGAGGAGTACGCTGCCGAAGACGCCTGCTGCTGTGGCGGGCACGACGACGTGCGGCGAGAGCTCGCACATGGTGGCGGCGGCCGCGGTTCCAGCAGCTGGTTAGGCCGCGAGGTCGCAGCAGCAGCGGCGGCAGAGGGAGTTGCCCGCACGGCATGCGGTAACCGGAGCACCCCCACTTGCTGCTGCTGCTGCTGCTGCTGCTGCTGCTGCTGCTGCTGCTGCCGCCGTTGTTGCTGCGCCGCCCGCTGCTGCCGCCGTTGCTGTTGTTGCCGCGCCGCCGCCGCCGCCGCCCCGGCGTTCCCCGGCGCCGCCGCTGCCGGCATCATTCGCCACGAGTTCGAACGTGGTAAGGCTATCCAAAATTTCTCCGCCACCGTCGTCGACGTAACCCCCTTCGAGCGCTCCGCGAGGTGGCTAAGAGTGTTAGGCAGGGCTGGTGCTTTCCCCGGGAAGACAGAACGCGTTAGCACCTGCGGCATCTTCCTGCCCATCCCTACCGCCAGACCCGCGGCGCGGCTCGGGCCTCTCGCTCCTCTAGTCACGCCACGGCTACTACCTCCGCCTTGTTGCTGCTGCGGCGTCGGCCCGCGCGTGGAGACACCGTTCTCGCTGGACCTGCTGCTTGCACCACTTGTCTCCAAAGCGTCGGTCGCAGCAGCAGCAGCAGCAACAGCAGCAGCGCCCTCATCCGGCTTGCTGCTCCTCCTCGCTGCCGCTACCACCCCCGCCATCGCCGCCCCTCG